GCAAAATGCGGGGGGTGGAAGATCGTGGCTGATCATTGATGGTTTTGTCATATTTTTGGATCGGCTTGTACAGATTTGTTTTGCTTCGGAGTGACTGGGAATCGTTGTGATCCATCCTCGATGTTTTTGCCTCGATGATTTCCCTAAACAATCACACCGATCAACCCGCCCTAAAGGGCCCCAGAATTTTCTGTTCGCCGAGGAGAAGCTGCTCGTGCAGTCGAAGAAGTTTCTGAAGCAGCCGAACCCCCATCAGATGTTGTGCGGCGCCTCGCGCAACATTTGATGGCCGAGGGCTCAGACAACGGGGCTTGAACTTGGTGAACAGCCTAATCCCATTATAGAAGTTCTTGGCATACTCTGTCGTTGTCCCTAAGCTACTCTCTTTTGAGAGCTCACCATGTCACACTACCAAACAGCTTGTGTCAACCGTTGCATTCTTCTTCGTTATGTAGGCCCAGCCTAGAAGGGCCCGAGACGAGCAAAGGGCTTCGGGCAGGGGGGGTGGAGTTTAAAGCAGCTTTGGTTCTTGTCTTGGAATGGGTTCTTGGAGATGCCCGGGATTGAGCAGATTACGAGGGTATTTTCCGGGTGCTTTGGTTCACAGGCGCCGCGTGTTGCACATGATTAAGACTTCCGCCTTCATTGCTGCTAATGCATGTGGTTCCCATGTAGAAGCTGGTTGACCGCAAGTCATGGATTCGGGGGTAGCGCCCTTTCGCTACGGTACATGTCTTTCACCAATTGCAGACATGGTTTGCAGCACGTGTCAGACTTAGACATTAGGCCTGAGGGGGCCCTTCATTGAGGGATTTCCAAACTTCCTTTGGCTTTGGGAAGCTTGGTCCCAACCTCGCGTTCTGTTGTAGCTGCAGTGCTTAGTCTACAAATCATCTATTGTAACTCGCTCTAAGATTATGTTGTGGCATGGTGCAAACGGCGCGAAGTTTGAGTTGGATTTGGAAGCTAGGCCATCTCCACCTTTGAAGACATGATCCTTTGCCCTTTCTTAAGTTGCGCCTCACCGCTGAAACCAAAGGCAATGTTTCACAAGATTATTTTTTCGATCCGCCATTGCTCTCTGGCAACCAGGGAAAGCTCGCGTTGCTGAAGGTGGGGCGTGGCAATATGCATCGTGGATACGGTTCCGGATCTGATAACGCAGATTCCGAAACTTTTTTGTCAGGAAGCCGTGACTCCGTAAGCATGCCTAATAACTATTCAGTGACTTTCCGTGTACAGGGCAAGAAGGCCCCGGACGATATATACTTTCCATTCACAGCGGTTTCAGGATACGGATTCGCTATTTATGTTTCGCATGTCTTGTCCAGTTAACCTAGCTCTGAGGGAGCATTCCTCGACGCCTGGCACACTGGAAGATCACATTTTAAACAGCATCCTATGCAATGTAATGCTTATATTATAGTTCTGGTTTTCTGGAGATATAATCCTATTTCCTGATGAATATAATTCTATTCTTATAAGGACTGATATTAATGTTCCGGAGATTCCAAAGATGAATCCAGATAATAAATAATAAATTCCTAAGCCTTTATGATTACAATTTTTAACTAGTGATAGAAAAGATACGAACGGGCCAGTAATTTTATATTCAAAGGAATGGTGGTTTCGTTTTGGGTATTCAGGTCTAGGTGCTAGGGATGTCGTATAAGGATAGGGTTTAAGGATTTGTTGAGGCTCAGGGTTTGCGGCGGGAGTAGTGTGTGGTTCAAGTTTAGGGTGCATCGTATTGGATTGCTCAGGGTCGACGCTACGGTATTTTCGGCTTCGTGCTCGTAGGAGATAATCAGGATATAGGTCTGCAAGTTGCGTTTGTGTTGCCACGTCCAAGCTAGGTCAAGTGCAAGAATTACATTTGTTTATGGGGGGCATGTCTAAGAGAAGCTTCACTAGGGTTCCTTATTCCAACGATTAAGGCCCCCATGTTAGCCTGGAGCAATTGGGCAAATTTCCTTTTAGAGTTGATTGGGAATCCGGGATTGCAGGCGTACGGAACACTTTTTAGGGTTTAGGGGTTTAGGGTAGGGTTTCCCAAAACTTGCAAGAATGCCAGTCCTCTGACTGGTGTATGGGATGTCTGGGTTGCATAGTGAACTTATGATTCTATAGGGCGGAAAAAGCTTTTATACGGTTTCTTTCTATATGATTCTCTATGTCCCTCCTGTCCCTCCTCGAGGCCAAAAAGGCGAAAGACAAGGGGGACGCTCAAAAGGAGGAAGCGAGGGAGGCATTCGGGGTCAGGGATTATTTTGGAGCCCAAAGCCCCACACACCTGCAACCTCTATGCCTATTCGAGGCTTTATGTAGGGTTTGATTTAGGATTAGCCCTCCAAACACACAAACATACAATAAGGAAGAGGACGGCGCGGAGTCCTACAACATGAAAGTGGCAATGTTTGGGTTGCTGTCGGGTTTATCTGCTGCAGTTCTAGCGAGGAAGCCCGGAACCCGACACCTTAAGGGCTGGTTCCTGCCCCATAACCCCTGAACCTGCTCTATGGAACTCTCGATCTCTCGTTACTGCAGGATCCGGTGCAAATCTTCATGCGACCTCCGCCGCCGCCCGATTACCCGGCTCCGCAGATGGTCCCTCTAGCGCAGCCCGTGCCAGCGCCATGCGAGCCCCCACATGGTGTTCCATCGGGCGAACCCACTCCTGGCTTCTACCATCCTCCCGCAAAGCAGCCCCATGCTTACGCACCTCCGATGCCACTTCCACCAATTCCATGCGAAGCCACTCACGGATGCTACCCGCACCCTCCCATGCACGATTCCCAGATGCTCGGATTCTACCTATCCGAGGAGGCACCTCATGCGCACCCCAGGCCAATGCCATGCGAGCCCCCTTTCTACCATGCTCCTCCCCCAGAGGAGCCCATGATGCCGGTTCTGTGGGCTCCCATGATGTTTGTCCCGTGCGAGCCCACGCCTGGCTTCTACCATCCAGCTCCTGGGACTTTGTTTCGGATAGCTTTTTGTATGTTACAGGTTTTGTCGGATTTCATGTCAGGTGGGGGTGTAGGGCCTGGGTATTGGCCAAAAAAGACTTGGTTCTCTTGTGCTGTTAGTTTACAATCCCTAAGTCAGCCTCGAATCCCCAATCCCAAGCTAAGCCTCCGAGCCCCAAATCCCTCCTGCTAACATACTCAGTCTTGAGAACGCTTCAGGGTTTAGGGCCCCATGCGTGTGCCGACCTGGTGACGGCATGTAGAGGCCCCTCCCCCAGAGGGTTTGGGCTTTAGGGTCCAGGGTTTGGGGTTTAAACGGTTTCGGGTCGAGAAGGTTTAGGGTGTTTCAGGCCAAGGAGGGCTGGGCATTGAAAGCTCAGGGTTACCTGGACCCGAAATGAAAGTCTTAACTTTCTGTAAAGCAGTCGCAACTTGTCCATCGTATGGCATGCTAGGTTTTGTTCCTTACAGCCCTATGCAGCCCGGGCGAAGCTCTGTAAAGTTCGAAAGCATCGTAGAGCACCTTGTGAAACTTCAGCCGAAAAAGTAAGACATGCTGGTTAGGGTTGACTTTGGCCCCGAGCTGTTCGCTGACCGGCCTTGCAGGTTGTCTCGTTGAGCTTCCGGCGGATGTTGTGCAGTTGTTTTTCCTTTACTCTCCTTCAAAGAAATCCGCGCAAGAGCGCGCGTGCAAAGTCCCCTGGCAACTCCGCCCCCAAAACATTAGGGTCCCGGCTTGGAAGTCTCTTCTCCTGCCGGGGCTCTGGGTCTTGCGGGGTCTGCACTGACCCCTTGATGGCCGTCGTTTGAACGATGCAATCTGAAGCGGGGCTGTTGAGGTTTTGCAGGGTTGAGGCTTTCACTTGACAATACAAATAAGTTAAAACGCTTCGCGTCGCCTCGGCCCGGCTGGTTTCGGAAAGCAACGGGTAGGTCACACAGGTGAGGTCTTGAGTCAATGAGCATGTTTGGCTCAAAATGTTTTAATGTCAGTATTTGTTTTCATGCTGAGGCTCTGAGCAATAATCCACGCAAAAGGTGGCACATTCCTTGCATTATCCCCTATAATCCCATAGACGTTACGATAATAATCGTATCACAGTTCTCACAGGTCTCGAATACAACCTCCCATACGTTGGAAGGGGAGTCAAACTTTGCAACGAAGTACAAGACAGAGCTCGGCCCCAGAATTCCCAGGCTTCGGCATCAGCTTCACGAATGATGTAAGCCACCCCGTATGAGCCGGTCTTGAATCGCCACAAGGACGAGACGAGGGAAGCAAGTGGTGGGGAAGGAGGGGCGGGGGGATACAAAAATCGCCGCAAAAATGTGTGCCACTGGGCAGAGTGAAGATATGCGTTCGATCACCGTCCTTAGCCTCCTTCATATGGAGCGCGTCGGCTCATGTTACTGGATGGAGTGGGTAGTGCAATGTGGTGCATGTACATGTGCCGCCGTTGGTTCAGAACCAGGTTTGAGCCAACAAGCCTCGTGAAGCGTACAGAGGCGGCCAAGTAGCTGCAAGTCTACCTACTTGTTTGAAGGGCATTTGTTGGCATGCAGCCGCTGATGTTACACACGTCACGATGACTAGATCGAAGTTTTTGGGATTGCTGCAAGCATGCTATACACGCAGACACGGCGTGGATCGTGTGTCTGTACAACATGCAGCTGCCAAGCTTATTCGCACTTGTGACCTTGCATGTTGGAGCCTTTCCCGACAGTTGCTTCGTTGCAATTTCAGACTTTGAGAGCTTGCATATTTTGCATTATGTTGTATTTGGTGGGTCTCACCTTCTCAAAAGCTTCCAGGGGCTGCAAGGAGTGATTTGCGTGTCGAGATCTTTTGAGTCAGCGTCATTGCATGACACGAAAGCTTAGGTGATGTGGAGGCAGCTTCAACATGCACTTTGGAATGGGACGTTGCATGGCAGATACCGGCTGTGCGAAATTACGTGTTAGTAGGTTTCTGGCCTCGGCAGACGGTGATGTTAGACTTCCGTGCTGCAAGCTTTGTTAACATATGTCGACATGTTCGCGTTCAGCACTTTAGGAATATGCCGCGTTGCCGACGTGATTTCAATGTGTTTCGGTGCTTTCTCTTTTGACACATTGAGGCTGGCTACCAAGACTATTTCCGACCCTTGTCTTTTGCCCGCTTGTATGCGAATGAGCAAAGTCCTTCACCCGAAGGGGAGCGGTCCCTGTCGGCAAGCGAGCTGCGCCGAATGAAGCACTCGGCTGAACAGCTTGACAGTTCAAAACAGGAAGGAGGCAGACTTCGAGAGCTAGAAGTGATCTTCAAAGATGCTTCCTACAAAGTCTTGGTGTGTTGGAATTCAGGCGGGCGGTTCTGGTATCTTGAAACAGATGTTGCCAGCACTACTGCGTGTATGCCCTCGAGGTGCACACAAGATGATGTTGAAAATACCATTGCTCGCATGTTCTTTGAACGGATAGCTGCACCCGGCATTCGCCCGGAAATCGCCCTTGTCCGTGAAATATTCCACTGGGGACAGCTGCAGCTGGATTTCGTCATTGTGGGAATGGACGGGTGTGGCAGCACATCTTTGCACAGAATTTTGGCTCAGCACACTGAGATTCAGTTCACGAACTTATCCGTGTTCAACGTTGATGAGGACTTTTTCATGATAGAGATGGGCAGGCAGACTTTGCCTTTCCGTACTCAGGTGGAGCGCTTCAACTTATTCCGGTCGGAGCTCCGGCGGCAGAAGGGCGACTCACAGGTGGTGGGGCTTTATCAGCCTTACATGTGGAATGTCGAGATGTTGAGGTTGGCAATGTTGGAGATGCCCAACTTGAGGGTTCTTGCCACGGTTTGTGACCCCGTAGACCGCTTTGAGCGCCGCATGCATGGCCAGAGCAACCCGACAGATGACGAGCTCTCGGAGGCCGTGGCGGTGCAGCTGAAAGACGACGCGTCAGTGAATTTGGTGCAAAAGTGGCAGGCTTGGCGTGAGTTGGGAGACCGGCTCCTCTTTGTGGAGCAGCTCAGACTCAGCTCTCACGAGACTTGGAGGACCATCTCGGATTTCCTGAAAATTCGGCGGTATCCCAACTCCTTCCGCTTCCCACTCTACAATGCACGCGGCTCGCGGACAAGCTTGTGCCGGCACCGGACGTTGCTCCAGGCCTTGAAGGAGCCCGATGAATCATGAAAAGCATTTGCTACCAAAAATCGTGTGCTGCACATGCTGTTGAAGCCTACGTGAGTCCTAAAGAGCATTCCTAAACTAATTGCCTTGCAGGAGCGCTTCAAGGCGGAGTACGATTTCCTGTCTGAGGAGCTGGGGTCCCAAGCCTTTCAGCTCCGGCAGACGCACTGCGAAAGGTGCCCCGCTTTTAGGCATCTTTTAGGCCTTTAGGTATTAGTAAGGCGCTGCAGCATGTGTTGGCTTTGCCAGGGAGACACAAGAGAAATCTGAGTTTTGACTTTGACAGGTTGGATTCGATCAAGGAGGCTTGCGTGAAGGACCGGTGCTCAGCTTAGCGATGAGAATGATGAGAAGCGATGACGCCGACCCTCTGCACCTCTGAGCGCGTCTGCGCCCTCCTCTCAGCGCGGGGAAGACGACGATACCCCGATTGCGCACGACGTCGTTCCTGGTCTGGAAGTTTGGAGCCCAAGCCAGCCTGCTGGCCGTGCGCTACTCTCGCACCTTCTCTGCCCCGGAGTCGCGGACCTGCAGGTTTAGCGAGCTGGACCTGGAGTCCAATGTTGACGCTTGAAAGTGTGCGGGTGTCACGTTGTTCCCATGAAATGCTTTAGACCCTCTCATAACGAGATCCGAACAGCTCACCTTCAGCAAAGCATGTTGGGAAAACAACTCGTAGTTGCATTCTGCGAAGCGGCATGCTGCACGTTCAGCAGAAAGAGTTTCGTTGCGTGCTGCTCAAAACCGCCGCATTTCGAGCTGGTATGCTTCTGCGGTGTTGCTGGTGATTAAGAAGCTTGGTGCTTGCGCCATCTGGACCGGTGTGTGGCTGTTCTGCTCAAGACAGACTGAAACAACGACTGCCGTGCCGGTAGAGGCGCGGGCGGTAGAGATTCATGCGGAAGCAGAGCGTGTGACCCGGCAGGAGTGGACACGAGATGCACCATGTGCAGCCAGCCCCGGGGGCATATGGCCAGCCGATGGTACCTTGACCCGGATATGTAGTAACTGCAGTGTTGCAATGCGTTTTCAGAGACTTTGCTATTGGCCTGAGCCGTTTCAGCTTTGGCCGCAGCTTCGGTCGGCTTCTGTTGCCGTTTTGGCTCTCAGTTGCAACAGAGAGACAATAACATGAACCGCTTCTTGCCTGCATTCTCTCTTTGCATTCCATTTCTGTTGCACCTTTTTTTGAAGTTCTGATTTCTTTGGGCCCCCCTCCATTGAAATCTCCCTTGTAGTGGAGGTGATGGATGAGGCTGCCGACCGATCAAGCAGGTCTCGTGCAGAGCGACAAGCTAGCGACAAGTTCGTGCTGTCGCTGACCGTGCGAGCAAGACCGCGGTCTTTCTGCAGAAGTCAGCCTTGCCCTTAAGGGTTGCCCTTGAGTTGCCCGTTGAGCCTGCGCTGCTCTTAACCCATCTTAACCCTGGCTCGAGTTGCACGACTGGAGGCATTGTGGCGATGATTTCAGGCGTGACCAATTTGCTCTGCGATGTGCGGATGCGTGCGATGCTCTGAGCAGGGGCTGAACCTGGCATCCATGCGAGCTCACATGCTGACGGAGTGATTCGGCAGGCAGTGGTCACGCAGTGTGCTTGTGCTCTTTACGCACCAGATGCAGTGATAAATTCGAGCCCGTCAAAGCCGATTGCCCCATGCAGAGTCGGCATATGCAGAGCCACCATGCGGAGTCACAACTTTGCCCTGTGAGTTGACGCGGACGGAGCGATTCCCTTCGGTGCTTGCATTGGGCGAGTCACAGATCGGAGGCCCATCAGTGCGAGCTGACGAGTGCTTCTGCCAGCTTTGAAGTGCCCGCAGTGTGTCTTGACAGGTCCTTGCCGCTTTGCAGTTGTTACAGCTGCAGTATGTGCTGTGGCAGTCGTGCGCTCGGTGCTGGGTACCTTGGACCCCTTTCTTGGGAGTTAAGTGCTTGCGTGCCTCGTCGATAAAGGTTCGACGCCAGCCGCAGTTGCCATGCAATTTGCTGCCGCAGCCCTAGTTCGGAGAGGGGTCTCCAACTTCACCTCCGGTGTGTCATGGGAACTACCCTTATTCCTGTTTGAAGTTTCTCGTTCCCGGGCCATTAGGAGACCATGTCAAGATCTATCTGAATCTCTTTTTTCTTGGCCGTTTGTTTACTTCCTTCATGTATTGACTAGAGGAAGAAGCGAGTGTGTATGAGCGTTGTACATAGAATACAAAGCAAGAAACATTTCACAGGCATAGCCAGGTCTTTGTAGAGGCTACCAAAATGGTTTTCCCAATCTCCAAACAAGCATGGATAGTTCCCTGATCTCTGGCCAAGGGACCATATTACCGCCCATCAAATTATAGGTAGTGAAACAAGTGGTCAGCTATGTCGCTATGTTTGCATGTGTATGTCCCTATGTTTGCATGAGTGTGTGTGTGTGTGTGTGTGTGTGTGTGTGTGTGTGTGTGTGTGTGTGTGTGTGTGTGTGTGTGTGTGTGTGTGTGTGTGTGTGTGTGTGTTGTGTGTGTGTGTGTGTGTGTGTGTGTGTGTGTGTGTGTGTGTGTGTGTGTGTGTGTGGTGTGTGTGTGTGTGTTGTGGTGTGTGGTTTGTGTGGTTTGTGTGTTGTGTGTGTGTGTGTGTGTGTTTGTGTGTGTGGTGTGTGTGTGTGGGTTGTGTGTGGTTTGTGGTGTGTGGTGTGTGTGTGTGGTGTGTGGTGTGTGGTGTGTGGTGTTTGGTGTGTGGTGTGTGGTGTGTGTGGTGTGTGGTGTGTGGGTGTGTGGTGTGTGGTGTGTGGTGGTGTGGTGTGTGGTGTGTGGTGTGTGGTGTGTGGTGTGTGTTGTTGGTGTGTGGTGTGGGTGTGTGGTGTGTGTGTGTGGTGGTGTGGTGTGTGGTGGTGTGGTGTGTGGGTTTGTTGTGTGTTGGTGTGGTGTGTAGGTGTTTGGGTGTGTGGTGTGTGTGTGTGTGTGGTGTTGTGTGGTGTGTGGTGTGTGGTTGTGTGTGTGGTGGTGGTGTGTGTGTGTGGTGTGTGGTGTTTTGGTGTGGTGTGTGTGTGTGTGTGTGGTGTGTGTGTGTGTGTGTGGTGTGTGTGTGTGTGTGGTGTGTGTGTGTTTGGGCGTGTGTGTTTGGGTGTGTGTGTTTGGGTGTGTGTGTTTGGGTGTGTGTGTGTGTAGTGGGTGTGTGTGTGTGTGTGTGTGTGTGTGTGTGTGTGTGTGTGTGTGTGTGTGTGTGTGTGTGTGTGTGTGTGTGTGTGTGTGTGTGTGTGTTTGTGGGTTGTGTGTGGGTAGTGTGTGGGTAGTGTGTGGGTAGTGTGTGGGTAGTGTGTGGGTAGTGTGTGGGTAGTGTGTGTGTGTGTGTGTGTGTGTGTGTGTGTGTGTTGTGTGTGTGTGTGTTGTGCTGTTTTTTGTGTTTGGTGCGTGTTGTTTGTGGTTGTGTGTGTCTGTGTGTTTGTATGTAGGATGGGTTGGTGTTTTTTTTGGTGTGGTGTGTGTGTTCGTGGGGTGCGTGAGTGCGTAGTGTGTGTGTGGGTTTGTGTGTGTGTTGTGTGTTGGTATATGTGAGTGTGTGTGTGGTGTGTGGTGTGTGGTGGTTGCGTTGCGTGCTGCGTCTGCGTGGTGTGTGCCGTGAGGGTGGGGTGGTTGGGCATTGGAGGTGGGTGGGTGGGGTTTGCGCGGTGGCGGGTCGGGGCGTACAACGCGCGTGGGGGTGGGGTGCGTGCGGGAAATCAGGTTGTTTGGGTGGAGCGTGGGTTCCCCCGATGATGCGGTGTTATAGGCGTGCGGGGGTACGGCATGTGGGGGGGGGGGGGGGGGGGGTGGGTGGGTTGAATTTTTAGTGGGCCAGGGTGTGTCGTGATGATGTGTAAAAAATAAAAAAACAGTTTTTCCATTTCTATCAGACGTGCGTGCGGGAATATCAGGTTGTGTGGGTGGGTGGGTGCGTGTGTCGTGATGATGTGTAAAAAATGAAACAACAATTTTTCCATTTCTATCAGATCAGCTTTGTCATTTTTAGAATCAGCTTCAAATCAGCCTGGCTGATCCCAAAATGTTGAGTTCATCAAATGCTGCCAGAAAGCTCTGCCGCCCACCTATGTTTAGGGTTTAGGGTTTAGGGTTTAGGGTTTAGGGTTTAGGGTTTAGGGTTTAGGGTTTAGGGTTTAGGGTTTAGGGTTTAGGGTTGTGGGGGGACTCCCTTATCTTCAGCGGCATTCTGCCAGGTTATTTGGGTTGGCTCTTGGAAATTCAGGGCGTTGAGGCTGGGCCTACTGAGCGCGAGTGTGCGATTCCGCTGCACAACCTTCACCCGAAACCCTAAAGCCCTGCAAAAACCTATAACCCTAAAACCCCAAAAGCCCTGCAACCCTGAAACCCGAAAACCCTAAAACAACCCAAAACCCTGCCAGCCCCTAAAAACCCTAAAAAAACCTGAAACCCTAGAAAACCCTGTAAACCCTCCCTGTAAACCCTATACGCCCTACACACCCTACAAACCCTCTAAAACCCTATAACCCCTAAGCCCTCTCTCTCATAGGCGCGTTTCGGGTAGAAAATTGAAACATTGGAAAAAGACACATGAAAAAGCCTGCTGCAGCACGAGCCGCCCCCAAAACCCGAGTCATGAGTCATGACCACCCCCCCGCCCCGCCCACCCTAACCCGCAAAGCTAAACGCCAAACCCTAAACCAGCGAAAGCAACCCTAAACCCTAAACCCTAACACCCCCGCCACCCCAAAAAAAAAGTACAAAACACCATAAGGGTTCTCAAAAGCCTTCAGCAGCCTTGAGCCAGGCCAGGGCCAGTAGCGGGCGCGATGCCAAACATCGCCAGCCGTGCACGTTAGGGTCTTCAAGTCAGGGTTTCGGGTTTCGGGTTTCGGGTTTAGGGTTTAGGGTTTAGGGTTTAGGGTTTAGGGTGGCGTCTGACAGTCAGCAAGTCCAGCTTCAAAAGGGTTTAGGGTTTAGGCTTTCGGCCCTTAATTAAAGAAACCCCAAGCTCAGAGAAGTAACACCTCGCCCTGAGCCTTAAGCTTGTGGAGCCCCACCAACGGGGTGACTGCTCTTCGCTTCTATGTAGAGCCGCGGCTGGCTGTTGGGTTTAGGGTTTAGGGTTTAGGGTTTAGGGTTTAGGGTTTAGGGTTTAGGGTTTAGGGTTTAGGGTTTAGGGTTTAGGGTTTAGGGTTTAGGGTTTAGGGCTGTGAGCTGCTCACCCTATGCAGATGTGGAGAGCTCGTGCATCCTTTTCCGAAGCTACTACCCACCCCCCTAAACTCCCGCCAGGTGGCCGCCTGCCGCAAAGCTGGAGTTTCCCGGCTGGTCGTGCAGGCCCCACCCGCCCCTCTCTAGATGTTACTTGGAGGTTCAGGGTACTTATACCCCCAACTATAACTGCACTTATAAGCCCTTAAGTCCTCATGTCCCCTAAGTAGGTTACAAGTAGACTTATAACTGGGTTTATACGTGCCCATGAACCTCCAAGTAGGGTTTAGAAGGAAAGGCGAAGATGAGTCGCCAAAGCGGCTTATTTCTTGAGTCCGAAGCTGCTGCTCACACTCAGCCCGCATTGACCAGGTATAGTCTGGAGCCAGATATACTAATACTAGGATGCTCACTAGTGCCCTTGTTCTCTTCTTTTGTTGGGCTGCAGGTTCCCTTAGAAACCCCCTTAAGAAAAACCACCCATGTTTATCCTAGGTTACTGGGCAACCTAGAATACAGGACACTTGTGCAGGATGACTTCGATCGCAAACCTTAAACCCTAAACCCTAAACCCTAAACCTTCAACCCTATAATATCCTAAACCCTACAACCCCAACCTTAAACCCGAAACCCGCAACCCTAAACCCATACCAGCAAATGAGTAGCAGCTTCAGGCCTGTGCTTTGGCGGCCGTTCCTGGGGAATGGTGCCTCCCGATCGGTCAAGGGTTTAGGGTTTAGGGTTTAGGGTTTAGGGTTTAGGGTGGAGGGTGAAGTTGGGGCAAAGGTCTAAGAGGGTTTGGAGTTTTCGGATGTCGGGATCTTGGGGTTTCAACACGCTTTCAAGAAGCATGTGGCTTCTCTCGTTTTGAGGGTTTACTCGTTTTCCTTGATCCGGGCACCATCTACTGCGATAAGTACGCCCCTGAGCCCTCTCGGGTCCTTCTGAAGCATCGAGGTTCGAACGGGTTGAAAGGGTTCAGCGATGTTCACAGGCTGTTGGGAGGACATGCATGCGAACCCGAGCCCCCTCTTAATTAAAGCCCGAGCTTCTTGAGCAGCTAAACCTCCACACACACACACCCAATCAGCAGCACCCCCAACCCCAAGAAGTGTTTTCCCCAGTCAGCTCCCTCCAGCGCATCGTAACCCTAAACCCTAAACCCTACACCCGACACCCGACACCCTAAACCCTAAACCCTAAACCCTAAACCCTAACCCTCAAAGCTTCCAGACCCCCAACAATGTGGCGCCTGCCAGGTGGGGGCTCCTGACCCCTGGGCGACTGACGCGGGCTGTGGTCCGGCCCGGGTCCCTATTTGAGCTCTCCTTAAGTGGGAGGTGTACGGTTTAGGGGTTTGGGGTTTAGGGTTTAGGGTTTCGGGTTTAGGGTTTAGGGTTTAGGGTTTAGGGCTTAGGGTTTAGGGTTTAGGGTTTAATTAGGGTTTAGGGCGTGGGCGTTCTCTAGGTCGTGATTTCGGCAGGGCAGAAACGATCTGGGTAACACAGGGCCTGAATATTCACCAGTATTGTATCATCCCCTTAAGACGCTTATGCAAGTAGACTTCCCTAATCTGTCCCATGATGCCCTCGAAAGGATGGACTGGTTTCAAACTTTAAAATACGGCTGAAGGAAGCTGAACGTTGGAGATCTAGCGACCTTGCAAGAACAAACGAACGAGCACGCAAAGGAGCACAACATCAGGATAGGATAATTTCTGGGGGAGGGATGGGGCAGGAGGCGTTTAAAACGCGTGACTT